GAGAACATTCCCTTTACCCCTACTCTCTGTTTCCTGCTTCCCAACCAATTACCAAGCCACGTTGCAAGGTTACCTCCAGATCCACACTTCCATTTTCACTAATAATCTTTTGTGCGGAACCTTATCAAATGCCTTCTGAAAGTCCATATAAATGACATCCATAGACATTCTCCTATTAGTGACCTCCTCAAAAAATTCAACTAGATTAGTCGGACACGACCTACCCTTTACAAATCCATGCTAACTCTCTTTGACACAAACCCTTGCTGACTCTCTTCTCTCCATGAGAACCTCCCTTCTCATTTTGAATAGTGCATGGGATCTTTAACATCCAATAGCAACAACAACAACTTGGATTTATATAGCACCCTCCACGCCGGACGGCATCTCAGAGAGCTTCACAGTAACGGATCCCGGGGTCGAGCCAGGGGGAGGAAGGTGACCAAAGGCATGGTTGAAAAGAAAGGTCTTCAGCTGAGACCTGAAAATAGGAAAAGACAGAGCGAGGCGAAGAGAGTGAGGAAGGGAGTTCCAGAGCCTCGGGGTGTAGTGGCTGAAGGCACGGCCACCGATGGTGGAGCGGAGGACTCGGGGGATGAGGAGGAGGCCAGACCCGGTGGAGCGAAGGCTGAACAGGCAGATGTTTCCATGGTTTAACATCATTGACAATGCTGTGCTCACCTAGCAACACATTGGATGGTCAGTCTAGACTGTGAGTTTAAAGACCTGACGTGGGCCTTGAACCCACAACCTTCTAACTCAGAGGCAAGAGGCAGGCTGACTAGCTGTAATCAGCATCCCACTGCAGTGCAGGCTTGTTATAATTCACTTCACTGGAGCGCAAATTGACTCATAAAACCATTGCAATGTGGATCCTATTCACTGGCCTTTTTAATAGCAGCTTCATACTGATTAAAAACCTTAAGTGAATGATGAATACTAAACCCAAATAATTTTACTCTCCACCACAGGCAACATCCCTTATTTGATATTACAATATGCATTACATTGTGTTCTACATTAAAATTCATCAGTTACTTCTATTCGTTTATAGAAAGGGAAAGAAGTAACCAATGTCTGATATCTCATATATCTGTTCAATTGGTCCAGAGGTACCTGAATGCTATTGATCCTCCTTATTTTATTCACCTGCCCATATTTTGTTTTGGTTAGCCAGGTGTCTGACACACATGGAAATCTATCGCTATGTTTAGGATTATGTAGACCAAATGAAAAGTTCCACATATATGTGGAAATTTTCCCTTTGTCTGGAGTGGTGTGCACATGCTTGGAGGGATGACTCTGATTACTTTAATCCCAGAAAGTATTTGGTACAGGTTGACAAGAGCCAAGATTTGGTGCTCTCAGAACGTGCATTGGGGACCGCTAGAGTTTAACCAGCTAAAACCTCGTAGCTTGCCATTGTGAACACTGTCTGGCCAGCTTCCCCTATCTGTCCAGCTAGGGCCAGTGCCCATATTTTGCTAGATGAGATAGTAAACATTCTAAATGACTATTTATTGGAGGTTTATTTTTATCATGGAGTACACTAAAAGCATGACATCTAGCATCCAACATGCTAACATTCCAAGATAATAACCCCAGGACATAAGTAAGACATAAAGGGTTTAACATGTAATCCGTTCTCTTTGCAAGATCTTGATTGCTTCCTCAAATCCTGTAGGACCTGAGCTTTGTGTCATAATAAAAATAATCCTTTTATTTGATATCGAGTCTTATCACGTCTTCGAGATGTCTCGAAACACTTCACAGAATATACTGTAAAGTGAATTGACTGTATATTTTTTGGGCGAAATGTAGCAGCCAATTGCGCACAGCAGTATCCCACAAATAGTCGTTGATTGAGAGACCAATGTTTTTTAAGGAATTATTACCTCTGAAAAGCAATCCACTAATTGACTAACAACTGGGTTCCTACTTACTGCTGGGTAAACAGAGGCATGTTGCGTAAGGAAACTTGCTCAATGTTTCGTCCTGCTGGGAATCGAACCCAGATTTCTCGCTTACGAAGTGAATGCTCTAACCACTAAGCTACAGGACTCCCCTGCAAGTCATTTGCAAATGTAACTATCTTGCATTGAGGCTGCTAATTCTGGTTAGCATTAAGGGGTTGAAAATGAATAAATACCTTAGGACGGGTGAATTATACCCCAGGGGACTTAGAGAGACAAGGGAGAGATTTGTGAACCACTGAGGGATACTTTGAGGGAGTCAGTCAACACTGGTGACCCTTACTAATGGCGATCGACCAATCTCAGTTCATAAAGGAACCTGTCATTTGGTACTTTGTCAGAGGCCTTTTGGACATTCAAATAAACTACATAATTAGGCTTTCCACAGTTAAATTGAGATTGGTAAATCTCACAGTTAAATTGAGAACCAGTGAAGATTTCACAAAGAGAACAGTTTTGATGTGAACCCCTTTATGTAATGTATTACAAACAAGTGAAAACGATTGAGCTATTATGAATAACAATACCTGTGTTTATGGTTTATATAGGATTTTGCCCATGAGAAAAATACCTTGAAAGGAAGTGTATTGGCTCAGGTCACCACATGGTACTTAAATCCACTTTTGGGAACATATGAACAGAAGTATTTGTTTTGTGACAATTAGCCAACTGTGTATTAACTATTTTTATTACATGAAATGCTTGATCTGTGATTTAACTGAACATTCCATACTTCGTCCACTTGGGATTATCATTTACTACATGATGCTTTACAGAGCACTGATCTAGACTACTAATGCATGTATTTTGTAACGACCAGAACAATCAATATGCCAGTGTTTTGCGTAGGCTGTGCACCTACACTAAATTCCTTGCAGTACTTTTTTATACAAGTTGCTGTATTGTAATCAGAGTATAGGACACTGCTGCATGTTTCTGAAATGTTAGCGATTATTTCCTGGTACTTATCCGGCATACCACAAACCTTAAAAGGGGATCTAACGCCAAAGGGAGGCAGGCGTTAATTATTGGGACTTTTACATGCAGGTCCTATAATACAATATTTCAACTTAAATTAATTTTTTATCAAATTTGCAATGTATTTATTAAGACTTTATATAGCCTGTACAGCATGGAACCGGCCATTCCGCCCAATCCTATCATACAGGTGTTTGTACACCATCCATTCCTCACTCCCTCCCATACCCATCTATTCCCCCTCATGTGAAGGTCTTGATTCCTCATAAATGCATCAAAACTATCTGATTCAACTAGCGTAGCAGGTGGCGGGTTCTATAATTTCACTATTCTCTGTGTGAAGTAGCTCTTATATTCTTTTTTAGATCCCCTAGTCGCTATTTTATACTTGTGAACCCTGTTTATGGATTCCCCAATAAGTGAGAACCTGGGTGCTCTCGCTTGCAAGGGGAGCATGCAAACCACTATGCTACGGGACTCCACATGGGTGAACATTAGGAAAGGTAATTGGACACATTCAGTTTTTTTTAAGAAGTCAGAATTTAAGAAATATCTGTAATTTTGCAGCATCCTAAATTTTAACACAAAATGATCTTGCAGCCTCGAACAAAATTCGGGCCTATTGATATAAATTATCTTAGATGATGCAATTTTGCACCTTATTGGGAATTTTGACCAGTGAAAATAACATTTTTGCCGCTGATTTCAATGACAGTATATATCTGTGCTGTACAAAGTACAAAGCACAAAGTACAAAGTACATATAATTTTCAATATTTATTATTATTTTATTTTAATAATGAAACGGATAATTTCATCAAGCTATTCACACCAGGAAAGTCAAAATTATCTCTGAGATATGTGGCCAGCTACTGAGTATAAGGACAATACCCCCATTCATTGAGTTTTGGACCAATTCAATGGATGAGATAATGAATGACTGATGAATTTTAATCCAAATAAATGTAAAATACGCACATTGGAATATGAAATACAAAATAAGCATAGACAAAGAACAAATTTCCATTATTAAAGGCAGCATCAATAAACATCAATAATACCCTACCATTATTGGTAGGGTATTATTGATGTTTACTGAAAATGTGCACTCAAAATGAAACTGACATCAACAGCACTAATCATGGATTTGCATGCATTTGCAAGGCCAGGTTTTTCTAACCACATATAAATTAATGGTGAGATGACAGTTAGGAGTTTGTTGGTAAATTTGCTCTTGATAGTGACTGTGCACTATTCTCCAATTGTTAGTCGATTCATAGACCTTGGTGATGTTTCCCATTGATGGAATGTTAAGTAAATGATTTGCAAATGTATCACAAAGCAGAAAATAATTCACACTTGTCACCAAAATTGTTAATTTACCCATGGACTGACAGTAATACCAGGACTCGGGCTTTAAGCTATGATAATCAACTCACAAAAATGTATTTCCTAACATAAAATAATGAGAGCAGACATTATGCGGGTTTTCAAAAATCGTCAATAATGTAAATGCAAGGGTATTTGTAAAGTACATTTCATGTTCTAATTTATATTAATTCACATTTATCTACATTAAAATCCACTGACATTGGTTGACAACAGACCTAATGGGTTTGAGCGGTCAATTTTGCTTGCTCTTCATTGTAGACTCTTTGCTCATAAGCATTAAACTCATTTCATGCATTATTTGTCACATGATTTCTCACTACACATGAGGAATTGCAGAGCCTTTTGCTGGGAATTGCATTGTTATTCTCTTTCATTCCTCACATAAACCCTGCTTGAAAAGCACTTCCAAAGAACCATAGAAATGGCAGTCACAGTAAGATGCTATTTTACCCACTTTTTTATGTCACTATTTTGCTCCTCCAAAAAGTCATCTAACCTAATTCCAATTCCCTGCTCTCGCCACATACACTTGAACCATAGAAATACAGAACCAGAAACATTTATGGCAAAGCAGAAAGCCATTCAGCTCATCATATTTGTGCTGGCTCCCTCAAGAGCAATCCTTTCAGTCCCATTTACTCTTTCTCCATACTCCTTTTTGAGGTATTTGTCCAATTACCTCTTGAAGGCGAATATGCATTTTGCTTCAACTGCAGCTCCCGGCAGGGCATTCCATATCCTAACTAATCTGTTCATGAAAAAAATTCTCCTAACCTCCCCATTTGCTTCTTTATTATCTTAAATTGATAATGATGTAATTATTATTGTTGTTATAATATCTTAAATTGATGCCCTCTAGACACTGACTCACGGACCAGTGGAAATAATTTCTCTCTATTGGATCTATTAAAACTCCTCATAATTTTAAATTCCTCCATCAGGTCACACCTCAACCGTCTTTGTTCCAGTGCTCTTCGCCTCGCTCTGTCTTTTCCTATTTTCAGGTCTCAGCTGAAGACCTTTCTTTTCAACCATGCCTTTGGTCAACTTCCTCCCCCTGGCTCGACCCCGGGATCCGTTACTGTGAAGCTCTCTGAGATGCCGTCCGGCGTGGAGGGTGCTATATAAATCCAAGTTGTTGTTGTTGCTATTGGATGTTAAAGATCCCATGCACTATTCAAAATGAGAAGGGAGGTTCTCATGGAGAGAAGAGAGTCAGCAAGGGTTTGTGTCAAAGAGAGTTAGCATGGATTTGTAAAGGGTAGGTCGTGTCCGACTAATCTAGTTGAATTTTTTGAGGAGGTCACTAATAGGAGAATGTCTATGGATGTCATTTATATGGACTTTCAGAAGGCATTTGATAAGGTTCCGCACAAAAGATTATTAGTGAAAATGGAAGTGTGGATCTGGAGGTAACCTTGTAACGTGGCTTGGTAATTGGTTGGGAAGCAGGAAACAGAGAGTAGGGGTAAAGGGAATGTTCTCTGATTGGCGGGACATGACAAGTGTTGTCCTCCAGGGAGCTGTACTGGGACCTCAACTGTTTGCCATATATGTCAATGATTTGGATAAAGAAATAGAAAGCTTTATATCTAAGCTGATAGACAACACTAAGCAAGGAGGCTCAGTAAATTGTATAGATGGGAGAAGGAAGTTACAAAGGGAGTTAGTCAGATTAAGTGAGTGGGCAAAGCTGTGGCAGCTGGTGTTCAATGTAGGAAAGTGCGAAGTCAGCCACTATGGATCAAAAAAAGTTAAAGCAAAATATTTTCCTCATGGGGAGAAACTAAGAACTGTGGAGGAGCAAAGGGATTTGGGTGTCCATATCCACACATCACTAAAAACTTGTTCCCAGGTGCAGAAAGTAATCAAAAAGGCAAATGGAACATTGGCCTATCTCAAAGGGGGAAGAAACGATGCTTCAACTGTATACAGCATTGGTCAGACCACATCTGGAGGACCATTTTCAGTTTTGGGCACCGCACCACAGGAAAGTTATATTGGCCCTGGAGGGGGTGCAGTGCAGGTTCACCAGAATTTTACCAGGCCTTAAAGGGTTAAGTTATGAGGAAAGGCTGCATAAACTTGTATTCCCTTGAGTTCAGATGGTTGAGGGGTGATTTGACTGAGGTGTTTAAGCTAATAAAGGGAATTGATAGGGTAGATACAGAGAAACTATTTCCTCTGGCGGGGAATCCAAAACAAAGGGGCATAGTCTTAAAATTAGAACCAGGTCATTTAAGGGTGAAATCAGGAAGCATTTTTTCACTGAAAGGGTGGTAGAAGTCTGGAACTCTCTCCCGAAAAGGCTGTGGATGCTGGATCCATCCACACCTTTAAGAGTGAGGTTGATAGATTTTTGGTAGGTCAGAGTATCAAGGGATATGGGGAAAAAGTGGGAAATTGGAATTGACAAGATTAGTTGAGGTATAGATCAGCCATGATCTAATTGAATGGCAGAACAGGCTTGAAGGGCTGAATGGCCCACTTCTGTTCCTACATTCATGGGCAGCAATCCCCCAAATAAAATTGATCATTCATTTCTTGGCTGTTTGTGGAACATGTTGTCGTTTGCAAATTGGTTGCTTCGCCTACAAATGCAATCACTTCACTTTACAGTATAAACCGTGAAATGCTTTGTGAGATATCTCGGCAACATGATGAAGCACTCTATCAAATGCAAAGAATATAATTATTAAATGAATAAAAGTCAAAAATA